ATTCTTTTCTTTGTGATTGTGAAAGAAAGAAATCTCTTTGAACAACAAATATGAAAACATTTCTGGTACTAATCCCAAATACATTACTTGAGCTTTGCTGTCTTGGTCAAAATGATTAACATGTGATATATTGACAAGTTTTGTCTAGAGCATGGTGAATCAGTCCAAAATTTCACATGAATTCCCTGTTGGGCTAATATGTGGTAATAAATCATCCTGACTCCCGGAAACAGAACACAGCAATGAAAAATGTAGAAGACCATTACTGACCTGTTAAGCAGCATCTATGGAAGTCCAACAAATATTTAGTTCTTTTCTTTTTTTTTAAACATTAATTACAAAACTTGTTTTTTTTTGAGATAAAGTTTATATCAGGTGATAGCTTTCTTCCTCATAAAAATGTCAATATGTTTGATATAGCTATGAAAAAGGTACATTCATTGCAATTGGTCATAGGCATTTTTTTCATTAATTGGCAAGAGAACTGTTAATTTGGAATATATTAGTTTCAAGTGATTTAGGAATTATGCCTGTTTTTCTGTTCTGACAGAACAGTTGAATCTATGTATTTTGCATAACATTGTAGATACAAAATCTCTGCCAACTTAATCTGACAAAAATATTTTCCCATTTCATTCCACAGTCTTAAATTACAATATTAGCATTAAAATGGACAAGGGTAATGATAAGCTGAGAAGACATAAATTGTCTTCAAAGGAAAATATAGCATTCAATCAAACAATTCTACTTAGAAAATTTTCTGTTTAGATTCCTGCAGTATTTTGCATGGCTGGGTCGCTGTGGTTTGACAACCACATCTGTAACCCTAGGAATGTGTCTGTGCAGAATTGAAGAAGTACCTGTTGATCCAGTACCTGTTGTGCAGATCTGCAGGTCTGTATGGAAATCTAAATGGGATTTATGTTTTCAGTTGATGTTAAATGTTTGTGGTTGGAATATGAATAATTTCCCAGTGTGGGAGGTTTGAAACTTGCACCTTGTTCCAGCTCTGTAAGAGCTAGTAGGTGACATTAACTTTTTCTTTTTGTACAAATCACCACATGCAGCCTGATCACCCCCTTATTTCTGGTCTGGGTGCCCTCGCTGGTTGGTTTGCCCATGTAATGCGGACGGCAGCTTGGCTATCTCAGCCCAAGCCCTGGAAGCGTTAGGCTTTGCAGCGTATTAAGAATAGAATGTTCCTTAGTTCCTGTACACCCCAGTAACGATGGCTGCGCATTAGTGGTGTGTAAAGAAAGTCCTCAGTTAATATAGCAATCAAAAAGAAACGGAACATGTCACCAGGCGAGCTTCCTTCGATGAACACAATGAGTAGATTCACCAGCCCATGTTTTGTTTGGTGGACTAGTAAGTATGTTGTTCAGCATTGCACGGCCAAGCGGATCTTTCACTGCTGTTGTCTGTTCCAGCCAGGACACGTGTTGGGTGGCTCTGTTAAAACCAAATGCAAGGCATCCACATATTCTGCATAGCTGCAGCCTCCCCCTGGAATGTGGGAAAAATTTGGCATTACTGACTTCAAAGGTGGAGAGCGGGAGATCAGGAATTGAATTCTGCTTGTGTGTGAGGTAATGTCAGTTCCTTGCGGTCAGAAGATGCAGACTTAATTGATATCATATGGCTAAGAAATATCCTCGAGAGCCAGCCTCGTGATTGCTGCCTAATAACTAAGAGCTCTTGGTGGGAGTCCAAACTATGTCTGTATGGAAGCACACTGGAGCTGCCGTCCTCTCTTGCCAAGATCACTGTTAGCCAAAGACTTGAGGCTTTCTGCAGCGCCGGGGGCTGGTGGGACACGTACGTGGTTGCTCAGGCCCAGCTGGGCAGAGTCCCACATCCTCCTCCTCAATCCTTGCCCCTGCATCTGGAAAGGGAACAAAGGACTTGACTCTGTCCCTAATCTCTCCTGCAGGATCAGAGCTGTGGAAAGACGCTGGTTACCCCCTTCCTCATTCGGTGGTGGTAAGTGCTCAACTATTGCCATCTGCGCTTGATTGGTTCCAATCTCACTATCAGATAATACAAAAATTCCTGTGATGAAGCATGGAAAAAAAATCATTAAAAAGTCTATTAATTTTTATGCCTCATAAATATAAACCGCAATTCACTTTAAGTTTACTGTAAAAACATTCCTCTTAAAATGTGAGCTTATGGGACAAGGAACAAAAAGGATTTCAGAGGGAAAGGTTAGATTTTTGTTCTCCCGAGGACTTTATTGTTACCAATTAATAGCTCTGTTTCACCATTTTTTGTTTCCAAGCCCTTGCAAGAGGAATATTTCTGAAGCTCTGCCGTTTCACTACTTTCTGTGACAAATATTTTACTAATGAACATCTCGTAATGCAACCATGCCACTTACAAGTGCCACCTGGTGTCCACCACGGGACTCGGAGGCCAGTCCTGCTGCCTGAGGAGGTAAAGTGCAGGGGACTGGTGGGGATGCTGTAGGGCTGTGACCTGGAGCCGAGGAACTGCTAACCTGGGCAGGGGTTAATCAGTGTTTAATCCCACTTCTAGAAAGGCAGTGGTGGGAGGCAGCAGTGCTCTCTGAGCATTGCCCGAACTGTGAAACACAACTGTAATCCTCACTGACACACCTTTATCGCCCTTACAAGTGCGGGGTGACGGTCTTAAAGATGTTGCAACCATCCAACCTGACAATTCCTGCAACTGATTGAAGAGGAGTCTTTTTGGATGGATGGGTACTTGGGAACAGCACGTGGTTTATTTATTAACACCTGGGACTAGGGGTGTGTTTGTGTGGGACTGTTTCCCCTTGCCTACTGCATCAGGTGCACAACATCTGCTCAAGGCACAGATGGGTTTCTTGACGCTAACCCTAACCTGTCATTCCCTTGCATGGGAGAATTTAGACCATATGTGATATATTTATGGGCTGATAAAATGTAGACTTTAGGAATGAATATTAATATAATAATCCTAATGGCTGTAAAGCAGTACATTTTTCAGAAGTGTTTATCCCCCACAGCTTTCAATGGCTTTGATTTTTTTTCCAGTATTCATCAGGGCTCTTAAAATCAGAGCATGAACTTTCATTTCACCCTCCTAAACACAAGCTTACATTAAGCAGCCTTCAGTCTCATCATTTGTTTTGGGATTGGTGCATGTGTGCTGCAGAAGAAGAGACCAGTGGACTATTTGGGGAATTGTTTTTGAAGAGTTTTTTTTTTTCTTCTCTTACAATATTCAGAGGAAAAGCATTGAGCATAGCATCCCCTGAAGAGGATGCAGAAACTGCAGATGAGATGTACCAGCTAAATGGCACCCTCAGGGAAGCTTCACACTGTTCAAACTTGGGAAATATTAGATAGAAGCTCGTGGAAGGGATTCTGCAATGTGGGTTATGAGGGTATATTTAGACATTTGCTGACATTCATGTTTTAGGTTACAACATGCTGAGAACATTTTAGAAAAACCTGTGCTCATCCTGCCCCAAAAGCTCCTATTCTGCCTCCCTCGTGCAGCTTCACTGAGCGCATCGATTCCTCATCTCCAGCCACACAGACAACCCCGGCCGGAGGGAAGAATTTATCCATTTTTTTCCCCCTTTTTTTTCTCTTTTCTTTTTCTCCTCAGAAGCAGGGACTGCACAGCAAATGTTTGCATGACACTGTTAAGGGAGCTGGGCCTAGGAGGGCTTGGTGCCCTTCAGTGACGCTGCCTCAGGATGGGGCCGCAATGCACAAAACCCCCCCAAGGAGGTTTGGTGCTGGAGACTTTACCTCAATATCTGGCTGTTTCTTTGACTTCATTTAAAAAACACCTATTTAAAAATCTTTCTCTTACAGCACTTTCCCTCCAAAGCACTGCTAGCTGTTGCCGTTCCTGATGGTCTCCAACTGCACTATCCTGTTCAGTAGGAAACTGAAGACCAAACATCAATACTTGGACTGGGAAACCAAATCCAAATGAGGTGAGGAGGGCAGTGTTGTGCCTTGATGTAGATGGCCAGGGAAATGGCATGAGGGCTCCTGGGTTCTCCATGGCTGCTCTGGGACTATTTTCATCTTTCTTTCTTCTTTGGCACATAAAAACACGTATGTTGCAGGAGGAACTGCTATGAATATCTCTCATAAACAAATACTGCTTAAGATCAGTAAACTATGGCCCATAGTCTTTGACCCAAGTTTATGTACTTTGCAGAGGAATTTGAAATATTGAAAATATATCAGTGCCCCCGTCCGTGCAGGTGAAAATGCTCTGCTTTTTCACCCTTCTCCCATGGAGATGGGTGTGTATCTGGAGCAGCCAGTCACCTGCAAATGCTGGGCCAATGCAAGGCATTCCGTGACAGTTTTTACCTGCAGGATTTTTATTATTATTATTATTATTATTATTATTATTATTTTAGTTGGAACGATGACTGAAGGATTTTACTGCTGCTTCACCCACACGAATCTCCCAAGAAACTCCAGGCAGCTCCCTGCCCACTCTGTATGTTTGCTTATGCTCTCTGGGAGTTTGACAGTTAGGAAGAAATGTGGGCAGAATGAATGAGCATATTGGCTTTTTAACAAAACAAACGGTTTTTGAGATAGTCTCTAATCCCCCTGCATCCTCTGGGGGAGCAGGAGCCGGCTGTGTTTGTCACTGCTCACTCTCCTGAGTGCAGGATCGCTGCATCCTGCAGCAGAGTCAGGCTAAGCAGTGCTGAGGTACCAGCGTCTCTCCAAAATCAATACTTGCTAATTAGCACATCTGTAGATCTCCACACCCATACCTGTGCTTTGCAGATTGCTGGTACCTGTACAAATACATTCTTTGCCTTGAAGATATTTATTGGATGGGTGTATAAAGAAGGGTGCAAAATGTGGCTGTGAATCAATTGCTGTTTTGAGGTTCCTGTTTTTGTAGGTCCAGGTGTACAGAGGGAATTTCCTCGTGGTGCTCTGCTGCAGCTGCAGTTTGTGTGAGCAAGCTGTCGATGCCATTCTTCTGCCTGATTTAATCTTCTTTGAAGACACATTCATGAAATGGAGAGCTTGAGGTAGGTAATACTTTTTTTTTTTTTTCTTTTTTTAATAGTATATAAGGTGAGAGAGGAAAACCAGAGGCAGAAAAGGCAAAGACAGCAACTGTGCTTCCAGATTTCCATGCATCCTTGATTACGTCTAAGGAAGAGATTATTGACCTGAAGTCATCCAACTTCTCCCTTTGTTAACATAGAAAAGAATATGAGATAGGAAAGAAGAGAGGATGAAGTCCTCCCTCTCCCCAGATGAGAGCTAGTGCCCTGAGCACAGTTAAGCATCAACACCTAGAGCTTTGAATTACCTGCCAAATTGAAGAAAAGAACCCTGCTAGCAGACCTTGATTGCTCCTAGCAGCACAAAATGGAGAAGAGAAAAATGCAGCAGGAGCAAAATGCCAAGAAGCACGATTCCCTTCCAAGCAGGGATGTGGGAGACAGGAGACCTCTCAGCGGTGCCCGGCCAAGGGACTGGCCTCTGGGCAGCGCTGCCTGCCCCCCCAGCATTAAGTGGCTGAGATCCCCCTTTTTTGAGCACAGGGGCCCAGCCTGTCCCCTCCCTGTTCGGCAGGAGCTTTGCTCCATGGCCGGGTGCCCAGCTTGCCCTCATCCCCATCTCTCTGCTGCCAAATGTATATCAAAATGCAATGTATTTCTGAGCAGTGTGTATCTGAATTCATTATCATAAAATATTTTGATTCAACGTTCTCATATTTGTTTTGTAATCTGATGTGAAAGAGAGAAGCTATTTTGTTTCTTTCCAGTAGAAGTCTGACTGAGTTCCTCACTGTTTTTCAGCCTAAGTGAATGTAATCACAAGTGACAAGGCAATTCTCCAGTGCTGCCTCAGCTGCTTCTCTTTGCCCATCCGTAAAGGGAAGGAATACACGGGCTGTTCGCAAGCAGCAGGTTCTCAGGTAGTACATGGCTTTATATGTTTTCTGGCACCTCTTTCATGTCAAAAAGCAGCAAAATTAGCATGAAACTAATGTAAGCAACATCTGAAAAATGCTTTTTTTTTTTTTTTTTCTGGCTAAGTGGAAACTAGGACAGATGATTTGAGCTTTGTCTTCCATCAGAGGAATCTGATTAGAGCCAGCACTGAACTCCTCTTCTGAAGTTCCTCAGTGTTTTAAAACTGGGATTTGGGAGTATCTTCAGTAAGGTGAGTGATTTTTGTCCCCTTCAGCAGCCCCAGCACATCACAGGTCAAATCACCGGAGCAGGTCCGCGGGATGGGTGGATGCTGGGGTGGGAATGCCTGTGTTTTTCCACTGGAGTTGCTGAGTGATGCCAGTGCTTATGAGAATCAAGGGGAAAACAAGGAAGGAAGGGAAGGAAAATTTCAGTTGAAAACAGACTGTTTTTTTCCACCCTCAGATATACACTACCAGTCAACCAAACTTGATAGAAATAGTTTTAAAATAGTTATAACTGAATTATGACACAGGACACAAAGGGCAAGTTCCTGCTACCGCTTGGCTATATATCCACTTAATAACTTTTAAATGAAGTGGACAATCAGGACCATAAACAAGTCCTGTACTGCTATCCCATCCTGTAAAGCCTGTAGGACACCGTTTATACACCCTGCCTTGGCAGCAATGGTTTGGATTAAAGTATCACCTCTCATTCTGCATGGCCACATAATTCACCCCAGAGTCCCTGCCACAGAAGAGCAATATTTACAGGACTGACGAGGAGAAACACCAATATTTCATCAGGTTGCAGCCAGGGTGTCCAGACCGCTCTTCCTAACACAGTTATTGATAATATCTAGACCATGATTACCATATCAAGTAAATTATCATTTCAAAGTAGAATATCAAAGCAGCAAAGTAATAACTATTCCTAGTGAATAAGCAACTAACGAGAGATTAAATGCATTAGTAATGGTGGAGATTAAAAAAAAAAAAAGATAATAATTATAAAGCTCTGCAAAAAATGTCAAACTGCCAGAGACCTTTAGGAAGAAGGACAGGAGAAAAAATGTTTTTCAAATAACAGTGATTATAAATAAAATATTTCTGTAGCCGTGGGCAAAATGAGCATCGCTGGGCTGCAGGCAGTGTGGGATGCTCAGATGACATTGGTGGGGTTGCCCCACACAGGCCCCAGGAACTTTCTGCACCAAAAGATGTTTTAAAGTATCTGTTCCACAAAATCAGGTCATCCTTGAGAAGCTGAATAGGGAAAAGCATGGTAATTTTTATAAAAACCTCTAAGTGCACCATTCTCTTGTGTTTTTGAAGCCTGAGCATCACTGATCAGCAAATGGAGGTGTCCTTTGAAGCCGAGCTGGTAGGAGATGCCATGTTCATGAAACACTGAATATTCATAAAGGTTCTGCAGAGAACTATGCATTGCCCATCTCTTCCTACCTGCAGAACACCTGCACAGGTGCCTCGGGAGTTCTCGCATCCCTCGTGGCCTCCTGCAGCCCAGCTTGGTGTCCCGTTTCCTTCTGCTCCTGCTACAAAACTGAATTCAACTGTGTGGCCAAGAAGCCTGGAGGTAAGATCACCCACCAGAGCAGGTAGACCTCACAGATTTAAATGCATTTTTGACCCCCTTTAGAAATATGAGGCTCTTTTCCAAATTAATGGTGATTTTTTTTTTAAATTCTCTTTCTTTGGTGGGAGAGATTTAGACTTATTTTGCGAGTGCATGTGTGTGCATGCATGGGTGTGCACAGATGGCCCAGTAAGTCCACATAACAGCTAAAGAACAGTCACAGACTGCTGCATGGTTCTGGTTGAGAAAACCACACTAAAATGTACCTTAAACTGCTACCAGCTGCGGGAGAAGCTGGTGACGGTCACTGGTGTGTCCTGAGGCTTCCCTCCACATCCCTGAGCTGACCTTGGAGGAGGACAAACGCCTCAGTAAGCGGCAGATGTTTTGGTAGAAATGCTCTGCTTTATTTTATCATTATGCAAATGAACATGGATAATGAAGTTGTTTCAATATTTCAGATTGAGATTAATGCCTTAAATTTAAATGTGCAGAGATTCATTAATCCTGAGCAGCTTCTCTGTGTAAGAAGTAAGAGGAACATGGTTCGGTGAGTAAGTTCCCTCCCATCCTAGTTCCTGGTCATATAAATAAATCTTGCCAAATTACTTTTTCAAAAGAAAACAAGCAGTCTCTGGATCTCAACCAGCAATTGTGAAATCCACTGTTTCCTCTTTTTTAAAAAAAGAAATACCATTTGTATCTAATTATTCTGATCAGAAATATGAGGAGAACCACATAGCTCCTTGTGAGCCTCAGAGAGCTCTTGCTGCGGCCTCAAAACCCAAGGAAACCTAATGAAATCCAAACAACCCTAAATAATGACAGATGAGGGGAAAGGCACCTTTTCGAACAGTGCTGCAGGAAAAGACCAGTGTCTAGCGATGCTCTAAAACGCTGTATTGGCAACAGCGATAACGGAAAGGAGACAAGAGCTAGAATGGTGTCCACGGGAAAACAATCAATCAGGAAGCGGAAGATGCTGCTCACACAGGCACTCTGACGAGCGCACGGGCCAGTCTCAGCTGTGTGCTCATTTGCTGCTCTTAAGTGACAATTAGAACATGCAGATTTGTATATAAAATAAAAACAAAAGCTTGTGCTTAAAATACATATGTATATATTATATATGTTTTATATGTGTGAAAATGTATGTATATCGATATGTAATGTTGCGGGGGTTTTGGTTCATATTTGGGAGGTTTCTTTTGAGCCAGTCACTTCTTAGAAGGCTGGTGGGAGGAAGGAGGGCCAGGGCTTGTCCCAGCAGGACAGCAATGTGCATCGGAGGCGGCTTTTGTTCCAGGTTTGCACCTCTCTGCAGAGCAGTGCGAGGCCACGGACAATACTGCTGCTGGTAGCGGGGAGGCTGCTTTGGTTTTGGTAGCCCCAAGTGCTTGCCAGCAAGAGAAACGTTGAGCGTTAAACTGAGTGTGTCTGAAGCATCTGCTTACTGCAAAAACACTGAGTTTTTCAAGTCTCAGCAAGACCATGGACTGAAGATTTCACCTGGCGACTCATCTTCTCCTGCCAAAGGTATAAAATTTCATCCCAGAGATAGCTACCAAGTCAGTAAATAGGAGCTCACACAAAGCTCTAAAACCACTTTTCAGATGAATCTCATTCTCAGGCAACACTAGCCCAGGAAATAACTTATTACACTTATTTATAAGATGCTCATGAATAATTTACACTATATTAACTTGTAAATGTGATGGCTTTTGAAAGCATTAAGCTTCAGTAGCTTGGTTTATAAATGCATTGCCTAGGTCTCATTATTAAAAGCTAATTAGCTCAATCGGCTGGAACATATTTTTGCCAAGTAGTTATGCTAATATAATCTTTTGTAACTTAAAGAAAAATATTAATTTTTAAAATATTCCAGTAATGGCATAATGGAAATATTTAATAATAAGGTTATAAAAATTTGCTGTAAACAGGTAATTGTATGAGACCTTTAACAAGCTTTCCAGAACCCGAGGTATTGCGATTATGATTTTTTTTAATGAACATACGATATTAGAAATCCCTTGTGTATACCTTGTTTATTCAAATATTGCAAGTTATACATTATACATGGACAAGATATCTTCAGAGTGTGTTTTTTTTTTTTTTTTTTTTTTTTTTTAGCTGTGTAAGCAGCTTGTGCATTCTGGTATTTGTTTAGGAAAAAGTCACATTCCTAAAGGATCATTTCTAACCCACCCTCAGCCCTGGAGAGGGTGCAGGGCACAGGCACGAGCTGCCAGGGAGTGTTGGCATCAGGGAAGTGCGGCCAGGCTAATGTGAGCTGCAAAGTCATTTTTCCTTTGCAAATGCTTTCTATTTCTGTTTGCACAGTGATTTTCACAGTGAGAAAACATGCTGTGTTTTCCGTTGGTGCTGACCAGTGTGGAGAAGTCCTTGTGAAAAGAACGAAATGAGAGAGAGGAGTAACCAAAGGTAAGTTGTCCAAGATTTTATTGTAACTAGAATCTTAACCACAAAAATTACAGATTTCAGTATAAAGCCTTATATTTTAAATCAGTATAAAATGTTTCAAGGCCGAGTTTTGAGAAGATAAGCTGTAGGGAAAATCAATAGCCACATGACGTGGAAAGAACACAGCTGGTTTGGTAATAGTCTGCTATTTGAGGTGTATTTACTATGCAAACTGTTCAAACATTTCTTATTTTGAAATATTTTAGGCTTATACTTGTGTCTGCACTTTAAATTTAAACATTTTCAAACTTCAGTGCATTTAAACCCCTGTTACCAGCTTTTAAAGGGATTAGGGTAAACAGCTTTTATTCTGCAGTCACAAAGCTGTTGCTCTGAAATACATCTTCTTGGATTTCCTGCTCAGAAGAAAAAAAAGGAGGAATTTAAGTAATTTGCAGCAAAGCTACACTGTCTGCTTCTGTGCTGATGAATGTTTCCCTTTAGGAAAGCCGTTCTTATATTAATATAACATCTGGCTTTCATCTTGAATAAACATAACAGCCTGAAAGAGGGAGAAAAAAGAGTAGAAAAATGTGACTTTTCCAGCATCTCAAGCAGCTAAAATGCCTACTTAACAGCAGCAAGCTTGGGCAAGGAGGGCTGCTCGAGCAACTTACCTAAATGAGCGGGTTGGAGACCAGGCTTGTCCCTTTGTTGCCCTGCGAGCCAGGAGCAGTGAGGTGAGCAGAAAGCACAGGGGTTTATGGCTGTGCCCGGGCAAGCGGCCATGGTGTGCGGGCCAGCGCAGGCTCCTCCGCCCCCGGCGAGGGCAGGGGACCCATGCGGTCCGTTCGCTGCTCCAGAGTGGGGACAGGAGAACACGTCGTCTTGGTCCGGCCTCCGTCTCCGGGCGGCTCCATGGGGCTCCTGGGCAGGGAAGCACTCTTCTCAGCAGCCGTGTCCCCGTGGGGCCGGGCCCTGCCTGTCCCACTGCCGCGTGCGGCTGAGCAGCAGCTCAGGACTGCCCGTCTCGCAGGGCGCTGCTCATCAACGGGCGGGACGGGCGCCTGGCATCGCCCCGGCGCCCTGCAGCTCAGGCAGCCCTTCCTGCTTGCGACCCAGAGCCGGCCGCGCGCATCTCCATGCACTGATGCTGAGCCCTTTGATAATGACAGAGCAATCTTGTGAGCAGCAAAGCAGGGGGAGATAACTAAATAATTCTGGTGTGGAAATACTCCGTTTTCTTACATAAATATTAATCATTTCCCCAGGAGTTGCGATTGAGTGCACATGCAGGCTTTATTGGCTTTTTTCGCTTCCCATATTAACAGAAACACAAGAAGGGGAATCTTGGTGACAACTGTGACCAACAGAAAATTAATTAGGTTTCTGAATCCCTAGTGCTGGTGTCTTAGGGCTCTTTGCTGCTTTGGATTAAATTGCATTAAACTCTTTATTAAGCGGAGCAGGCAGCTTGGCATTGGAATTAAGCCCACATCTGCACCTGGATTCGCCTATTAAAACTAGGCAGAGGAGAAAGATTGTTAAATACTTTTATCCATGATTCAAGACAAGAGGCCAAAAAAAAAAAAAAAAAGAGCATATTTTCTTTTTAAAAAGGTATTGTTTGCGGTATTTACCTTACCTGTGTTTACAGGGTTTTTTTTTTTTTTTTTGGTTTATTTGCTTGGTTTTTGTTTCTTCCTTGTTATTGTTGTTGAGTGTTTGTAACCCATCTTTTTGTACCAATTGCCCCTCTGAGCTGCCAGGATGAGTGTTCTCCTTGTATTTTTAATGAGGCTCAAGTTAACAGGGGCATGTTTGTTTAACAGTGGCACTGCACACTGCTGCACGTGTGAAGGCGTCTTTGTCCACGTGCCGCCATCGATTCCTGCAGCAGGGGCTGAGGATAAGGCCGTGTTCATAAACTTCTGCTACGGAAAATGAAACTCCTCCCAGTTTTGTCACTACACAGTGGGAGCAATTCCCTCTGTCAGCTGAGTTGTATCAGAGAAAAGGGAACTGGGCTTGTGGTCTCACAGATGTGAGGGTGATACTTGCGTATGTGGCAGGAATCGAGTCGTGGCCCTGGAAGGAGCCTCCCAGCCCTTGCACAGCTCCCTGTCTCCCCTCCGTCTGCAGAAGCTGCTGCATTGACCGCTGCTTTCGCACTGCACAACTAGCCATCCTGCTATTAAAGGGAAGGGGGTGAGAGCATGGGCAGGGGCTGCAGCTTTGCAGCTGCTCCAGACTGAGCACTGAGCCGCCTGGGCAGGAAGCAGCTCTTTTTTCGCCAGGCCTGTGCGTCCCCTTGGCCAAAACACAGCAGCGGCTCCGAGCTCGTGGCCCTGAGCGCACCCCAAGGGAGCAGGGTCCCGCCTGGCGCTGCACGCAGCACCCGGGAACGCGGCTCCTCCCCCGCTCCAGACACCACATTCAATTGAAGCCAACAGCACCCACTGGACTTGTCATCACCTGACAACATCACCAAGAAAAGCTCGGGTAGCTCCTCTATTGCTGTTTCTGCATTTTGTCTTAAATGTGCTCTGGCAGCAGTCTGCCTCTGCTTACTAAAGTGTGATGCTTTTGCAAAGACTTCTGCTATGTTGGGGTAGTCTTTTCATATTCATACTCTATAATTAATATTTTAAGGGGTGGTGTCTCCCCCCCACCATGAGGGGATATAAGGGCTCCTGCACGTGTTCATGGGTGTCCCGGGCGGGACTGACTGCTCTGCTCGGGGCTCATCACTGCTGTGAGCGTGTCCTGCAGCTCCCCGTGGAGGCTGCTGGAGCAGGGGACATCCAGGAAGAGGCTGTAGCCCAGGTAGAGACTGGTGATGGTGGCAAAGGAGCCCTGGGTGTTTTCCTGGGACACCCTGAAGATCACCTGGACCTTGTTGCTTCCTGGAGCCGTGTAGCTGCAGGATGGCCAAGCCGGGTTCCTGTGGAAGGAGAAGAGGCTGCTGAGTGACCCGGGGCTGATCCGGTGAATGAAAAGAGTTTTGAGGAGATGAAGGCCAGAGTGACAGAGCAGGGCAACCAGCCGCACATCCGCCCCCACCATCGTGGCTCCCACTGCAGGGGCTGCTCCTGGAGGCCCGTGTCCCAAACAGAGGACAAAATCCCTCTCTGCTTCTCAATTCCCATTTCCCAGCGGTATCCCAGAGCCGCGGCTGCTGCCGAGCCCCGCATGGGCAGCGCTCAGCCCGTAACCCCGCGGGCGGGCCCGGAGCCGCGCCGGTGCTCTGGGCGGGGCGGGGGCGGCTGCAGCTCCAGGCGGAGCGCGCAGCGGTGCCGCGCAGCCCCCGCGCCGGGCGGGCACCGCCCCGCCCCGCCGCCGACCAATCGCCGCTCCGTGTTCAGCATAGCCCCGCCCGCAGGAAGCCAGCTGTACCATAGAGCCAGCTGGGGAGCGCTTGTCTCGCAGCTGCTCGTGCTACGCTCTCTATGGTGAGTCCTCCACAGTGCCGTGCCCGGCGGAAGTGGGCTGCACCCCGGAGCCAGGCGGGAGGCGCTGGGCTCGCTGCCGCGCTCCAGGCGGCGAGGAACGCGGAACCCCGGGAAACAGAACCCGCCGGCCCCGCCGCGCTGCTGCACCAGCGGCAGCACGCGCGCGCGCGCACACACACACGCGCGCACACACACACACTCACACACGCGCGCACACACACACACTCACACACACGCGCACACACGCGCACACACACGCGCGCACACGCACCCCTTACAGAGCCTCAGACACACTGCTGCTTTCCACAACACAGTCTCCAAAATACTCAGCAGCATTTTCTGAGGGCTGACTCACAAAGCATGCAGAAACAGAAAGTTGTAACATTTGAGAGAGACATTTTGAACCTTGTCAACTATTTAAGAGGAAAAAAAGGCACTTGTCACCTACCTTTGTGCTCCCCATGAGGTTAATAAAAGCTTTTCTAAAACATTTTTGACTGCTGTTGCTTTCTCAGTCCTTAGTTGCAGGAGCACACCCCGGGCAAACACCCAAGCCTCCGAAGCTGGAAGAATGGTATCTAGAGGTGGTTTTGGTTTTTTTAAACAGGGCTTAGTTTCTTTGGAAAAATTAACTCACTAACAAAAGTAAATACTGAATTTACAATATATTGCATTAGAATTTTTTTCAGACAAGAACTCTTCATCCAAGAAATGGATTGAAAGAGCAGTGGTGACAAATTTCACATTAAAACTATTGTCCAAAGCACTGTCAATAGGAAATTTATATTACTTGTTCACAGCTAAGAATAATGTATAGTACATGCAACAAATTGCTAGTATACCCTAGCTTAGCTAAGAGAGTGCATTTGGACCTAACTAATGATATGCAAAAAGTGAGACACAAAAGGTATTTGAGCTACAATTGTTTAACAATACAATAATTTCTAAAGCCATTACTAGGGCTACTCTAAGGCAGCACCAGTCAGTCAGGTCCTGCTCTGGCATCCACCAATCCAGGCAGGCAAGTCCCTCACTGAACACCTGCAAGCACATAGACAGACACCCCAATACAAAGACAAGACCCTCACTAAGCACCCATACACACAGGCAGGGCAATCCTTCAGTAACCACCCCCACACGCAGGTAAGCGAGTCCTCCAACAAAAAAGCACCAAAACAGGTCCCTGAGCCCCTAGCCAGACACACACAAGTAGCTAAGCCCCTTGCCATAAAATCCAACACAGAGATTACCAAGCCCCTGCCAGGAACATCCATGCACAAGCAGAGAGTCATGCCCCTCATGAGATGCACATATACACACACACAGAGGCAGCTGCATCCCCTTCCATAAAACTCTCACACACCAAGGTAGCTACATCCCTTTGCATCAAATCACACACAGCTGAGCCCCTCGCCAGACACACACAGCCCTTGCCAGACTCACTCACAGGCCCTGTTCCAGATGGGTTCAGCGTTTGGCAATCAAAAC